TTGTAGAAGGCCACCAGGTTGGTCTGACAGGACCTGCCTCTAATGAACCCGTGTTGGTTGCCCCTAAGCATAATCTCCCCTGCTGGCCCCTCGTGGACATGTGCCAGACTAATTCTCTCAAAAAGCTTACCCAGGATCGAGGTAAGACTAACTGGCCTATAGTTTCCCAGGTCTTCCTTCCTCCCTTTTTTGAAGATGGGAACCACATTGGCCCTCTTCCAGTCCTCTGGACACTTGACACTTCCCACTAGGAGACCCTTTTTACTTAATAGTTTTCTGAATTGTAATCATTTAGGCTGAAAAATTCTATATTTGATGTCTGCCATACCTTATTTTGTTTTGTTTTTAATTTCACAAAAAATGGCTCAACCATTCCTGAGAACAAGATTTTGCCAAAAATACAGCATGCCCATGTTGAACAATGCTTCCAGATGCTTTCCTGAGAAACTCCAACAATCCTTTGCTGTGGAACGATTACTTGAAATTTGGTAGTGAATGTCACCCCTGTGACCAGAGAGGTGCCTTTTGCCGTCTCCTTGAAATTCCATTCGCATTTTACCAAATTGCAAGCCTCTGAAAGCTGCCAACCACACATGTTAAGTAGGTTTGGCAGAGCTTGGCCGCTAAATTCTCTGCAGAGTTCACATGGTGGTCCCCCTGCTTTATCTGTGGCAGGTTAAGCAGTCTGCTTTGTGGTTGTGTGAAGGGGTGGCATGTGTAGTTTTGGTTGTAGATTAGACAAGGATTGGCTGGAATGGTTTGGATAGGAACCATCCTGCCTCCTGCAGTGGGTTAGACTAGATAACCTCTAGAGATCTCTTCCTGCCCTTCTTTTTGGTGATTCTACCGAGCATGGTCCAGCTCAGGGCTGCAAGAGTTTAAGAAAAAACAATAAGTAATTGCATAATTAAAAACCATATCATAATATGTATGTATCGTCATCAGCAGTCCCTCGATGCAAGAATGATCTCTACCATGGCTCATTAACGGGTCTTGAGGTGACTTAAGGGTCCAATCCTTGAGCCACAGATCCATCTGCAGAAATTATAGGTCTTTCCTCAGGGGAGATTTGGCAGGGATTCCTCTCCTTTTCCTTTCTCTGCTCTCTCTTCTCTGCTTTGAGGCCCTTCACAGTTTCCCTGCCATCTGCCCTGGCACGTCAGCTTCTTACAAATCAAGGTTGCAGGTGGTTTTGGCACTCTACACAAAAATGTTTCTACACCCTGCTATAAAAGGTAATTTATCCAGAATAACACCACTCACTCCTAATACAATTTTAACAATGTGGAAGCAAGACTGGTTCTTGTTAAGGAGTATTGCACTTATAGCAGGTTCACTGTTGCTTGGAATTTTTTTAAGAAAGTACTAATATAGTCAATGCTATTCAATTAGAGACAGTGATCACCAACTACTTAAAAGTGAGGGCCCAGGTATGTCTGCATTGGGGAGCTAGGATTTTCTATTTAACCTGTAATGTCAGGCAAACCAAAAGACAAGCCTTGACTGTAGGATTTTCAAGGGGTTCTCCTGAAGTCAGTTTTCAGAGTCACAGATCAGCTATGAACTTCTTTTCCTTTAATGATTTTCATCTCTAGCAAGACCATCTATTTTTATTTATGCACCTGTAAAATTAAAGAACAACCCAAGCACAGCATTTGAAAAGAATTTTAAAAATATCAGTGAGGGTAACTTCAAAACTGCATAAGAATCTTGGACATCAAAATAATAAGTACTGGACATCCAGGGAGTGGCTTTTGAAAACATCTACTGCCATGTTTCGACCTGTTTGTACTTGCTTTAAGGTAGAAGGACCCAAAATAGTTTCTGTGTCACTTGATATGTCGGATAAAATTCTATAAACTATGAGAGATGTTGTTCTGATGTGTTGAAGTACACACACAGGCAGGATGTATGCTATATACTGACACAGCAGAGGTGGGCAAAATACAGCCCATGGGCCAGATCCAGCCCACCAAGCCATTCTATCTGGCCTACGGAGCCCCTAAAAAATTTAGAAAATGTATATTTATCTGCCCTGGCAGCCTGTCAAAGCTGACAGAGCCAGGAGCAGTAGGAGCCAGGGGGATCCTCAGCAGAATTGAACAGCCCAGCCCTGGCTACTCCCAGCCAGTTCCCTGCTTCCTGCTCCCACCCTGCTCCAGCTCCACATGACTGCCAGCTGCATTGCAGGATCAGGGAGCACAGGGCTGCACTGGTATGGGTGTGTGTGGGGGGGTGTATATACAGGCAGGGATTGTGTGTGGGCAGGCAGGGACAGTGTATTTGTGTGGGGTGGGCAGGCAGGGACTGTGGTGCGGGGGAGCCGGCAGGGGCAGACTGTGTGTGTGTTCATAGGCTGAGTCACACACACACACACACACACACACACACACACACACACACACACACACACACACGCATCCACAGCCCCCTTGCACTGCCATACATGCAAACCCCCACATCCCCTCACACACTCCAGGTACCCATCCCTCACAAACCCCATACCCACCCACACCCCACATATCCACACAATCACACCTATGTGCTCC